GCACCATCATCTTGGAACTTTTCGCGTGTTTAAACCAATGTTTAAGTGTTGCCACAAACGTTATCAGAGACATGCTAGTGATTGTGCCAACTATCCGATAAAGCTTGTAGCGATGCGAACTAACCTCAAACATTTTTTAATCCATAGTACATTAGAGCATAAAGTGACCATTGAACAATAGAGGAGATCCAAAAGTAGAAAATATGTCATACCTTGGCAGCGATTTGACTAAGCTCAACAAATCTGCTCTTTGTAAGCTGTTGCAGATAAACAGCAACTTTGTAAATATCACTGCCCTCCATATTATAAGCCTGAGCATTCATAAAGACGCGATCAATGTCACCTCGAACATCAGCCAGACTATGGTATTCATTCCGCTTAATTTTACGGCGAATCTTGGCCAAACATATTGGATTGGAGATGCGCCGAAAATAATCAGGATACAATCTGGCAAAAAAATTAGGAAGAATAATATTAATAATGCAGACAAACAAGTGAACCAGTAATGAATTTAATGCTCACTTTCTGGATGGTAAGCGCATGAATGGTAAAGCGAGTAAAGTACCCATCGAATTGGTCGCTGTGCAGATGGCCTCAAGAACATGTTCGCCCCACCATCGAAGCGAGCCTACGGCTGCCGTTGAAAGCATTGTGGGGATAAGCTGCTCCTCACTAGAAACCGTAGGATCGACAAAGGGTGCCATGTGAGGTGGTGAACCCGGTGGAGCAACCGACTCATCGAGCATCAGGAAAGATAGGTCAACCGTGGCAGCATTTCCACTACCACTGCCATTTCCACTAGAAACAACGCCGCCGACCCCTGAACCATTTCCACCAGCAATCGGCGTAGTTATCGTTGTGGTGGTAGTGGAAGAAGTGGAGCGCCGATCAGCTGATCCCTCAGAAGGGGTGGGAGAAGCAGGAGTAGCTGATACAGAATCCAGTGGGTGTTTGCGGGGGCGGCCACGGCGTCGTTTCACAACAGCGAATCCAGCCGGTGTTGAGATTGCCGCAGAGGAGCTCTCTTCACCATCTTCATCTGCTTCATAGTCCTCAACTTCATCATCGTCTTCCACTTTAGGGACAGGCGAAGTCATACCAACTGCGTCAGGAAGATTAGCATAGTCCTCAGTGATCTCATGAGCGTTGCTCCTAAGGACATCGAATAGCGAGTACTACACATCAGCCGAAGCAAGTGAGGATAAATTCAAGCCTACTCACTCGATCGTCTCCTCATCAGGATCAGCTTTGAACCGTTTCTTGATAACAATCTTCTTCTCCTTTATAATCCGCAAAAGTGTGACGGCATCCTAGAACGCCACAGAGGTTCATTTTAATAGAGACTGGACAAACGAAATAAACTTTCATAGCTGTACTATGCCTCACCTGATAAATTTTTGACTTGGGTTCGTTGAAATGTTTAGCATTCCTCCCCATTTGCACAAAGTCACGTTCGACCTCACCGAATGTATGATAGCTACCATTAAGAATACGTTGAGCAATCATTCGGAGGTCAACAGGGTTTGTGATGACTTCGTAGTATTGAGGATATACCTTTAAGAAAATTACTAGTGTTGAATGAGGAAAGATGCAAAGTATCCAATCAATTCATTGACATTTCCGAACCTGCTTTGGTGGAAGAGTGGCAAAGGTTCGAGCAATGTGTCTACCTCCTTCCAAATCATATGATACTATCGAGGCGAAGAAGGCCTCCAGAGCCCGTTTACTCACAGC